CCTTGACGCCGCTGTCAGAGGGCCTGTGGTGTTACCAGTGCGGGACGCTGAGTGAGGGAATGTCCACAGTGAACCCTTGCTTCGGTATCAAGCCAGACGACTACACACTATGTCCCGCTGGCAGCAATCACTGCAAGGTAGGAGGATGCTAACACACACACTATCTCTCTCTCTCTCTCTCTCTCTCTCTCTCTCTCTCTCTCTCTCTCTCTCTATGGTCTTTATATCCACCTGTTGGTCGTTATTAATGCTGTTACTGCAATTTATTAAATATAAAGACAATTAGCACCTATTAATATTATTCTTATTGTTTTTAAATATGATATTCTACGTTATGTTACGCGATGACTTTTTTTAGAGGTCACTAAAAATGGCACATTCTATAATATCTTGATTTAATGAAGTTAACGTATCAACAATTAATTTCTGCTTTGTTGAAAGCAGATTGTCAGTTATATCCACATGTGGGGAAGTATCAGCTAAAGTTTTATTGGGCTTAGGATGTCAACTATATCAATATTCTGAGTAAAGGTCTATATTTTTCACGTATTTTACTATATTGAAGTCTATATTCTTTTTCGGGTTCCCTATCCGACTAGACGGTGTTCATAAAAACGGTCTTTAAAACCTTCCCTAATTAAAGATAGCCCCTTAAATTTAGGATATCGGAATTATATAACATACCCTAATCTTAGGATATTCACTAATATTAGGATGAACTCTACTTTCAGAATACACCGAAATCTTAGGATACTTTAATTTTAAGACATGATCCCAATTTTATGATATGACCCCAGTTTTAAGACACGACCCCCCCGCCAATTAAGAAATGATGCCAATTATAAGACATGACACTTTCAAGATATTACCCCAAACTTAAGACGTGAACCCCGATTTTAAGACATACCCGAAATGATAACGATATTGTAGGAAACAATAAGGTTTAAGAATTTTTTCTCCAAAATAATATATACTTGTAACTCTGGTGAAGGTGTGGCAGGTGTTGCAGTTGTGGAGGCTGTTGCGGGTGTGTAGGGGTGTCATGCCTCATATAAATGAAGAGGGACAGCACAACTATTTGGTATTGACCCATTTTTTTCATTGATAACATCCCACTTCACTTCTCATTAATGACACACCCCGCTGCCTTTCTTATTGATGACACTCCCGCTGCCTTTCTTATTGATGACACACCCCGCTGCCTTTCTTATTGATGACACACCCGCTGCCTTTCTTATTGATGACACACCCCGCTGCCTTTCTTATTGATGACACTCCCGCTGCCTTTCTTATTGATGACACACCCGCTGCCTTTCTTATTGATGACACCCCCGCTGCCTTTCTTATTGATGACACTCCCGCTGCCTTTCTTATTGATGACACACCCGCTGCCTTTCTTATTGATGACACACCCGCTGCCTTTCTTATTGATGACACTCCCCGCTGCCTTTCTTATTGATGACACACCCGCTGCCTTTCTTATTAATGACACCCCGCTGCCTTCTTATTGATGACACTCCCGCTGCCTTTCTTATTGATGACACACCCACTGCCTATCTTATTGATGACACACCCGCTGCCTTTCTTATTGATGACACTCCCGCTGCCTTTCTTATTGATGACACTCCCGCTGCCTTTCTTATTGATGACACCCCGCTGCCTTTCTTATTGATGACACTCCCGCTGCCTTTCTTATTGATGACACTCCCGCTGCCTTTCTTATTGATGACACACCCGCTGCCTTTCTTATTGATGACACTCCCGCTGCCTTTCTTATTGATGACACCCCGCTGCCTTTCTCATTGATGACACACCGCTGCATTTCTCATTGATGACACACCCGCAGCCTTTCTAATTGATGACACACCCGCTGCCTTTCTTATTGATGACACACCCCGCTGCCTTTCTTATTGATGACACTCCCGCTGCCTTTCTTATTGATGACACTCCCGCTGCCTTTCTTATTGATGACACCCCGCTGCCTTTCTTATTGATGACACCCCGCTGCCTTTCTTATTGATGACACCCCGCTGCCTTTCTTATTGATGACACCCCGCTGCCTTTCTTATTGATGACACCCCGCTGCCTTTCTTATTGATGACACCCCCCGCTGCCTTTCTTATTGATGACACCCCGCTGCCTTTCTTATTGATGACACTCCCGCTGCCTTTCTTATTGATGACACTCCCGCTGCCTTTCTTATTGATGACACCCCGCTGCCTTTCTTATTGATGACACCCCGCTGCCTTTCTTATTGATGACACCCCGCTGCCTTTCTTATTGATGACACCCCGCTGCCTTTCTTATTGATGACACACCCGCTGCCTTTCTTATTGATGACACCCTCGCTGCCTTTCTTATTGATGACACACCCCGCTGCCTTTCTTATTGATGACACTCCCGCTGCCTTTCTTATTGATGACACACCCGCTGCCTTTCTTATTGATGACACACCCCGCTGCCTTTCTTATTGATGACACCCCGCTGCCTTTCTTATTGATGACACCCCGCTGCCTTTCTTATTGATGACACACCCGCTGCCTTTCTTATTGATGACACCCCCCGCTGCCTTTCTTATTGATGACACTCCCGCTGCCTTTCTTATTGATGACACACCCGCTGCCTTTCTTATTGATGACACTCCCGCTGCCTTTCTTATTGATGACACTCCCGCTGCCTTTCTTATTGATGACACTCCCGCTGCCTTTCTTATTGATGACACACCCGCTGCCTTTCTTATTGATGACACACCCCGCTGCCTTTCTTATTGATGACACCCCGCTGCCTTTCTTATTGATGACACTCCCGCTGCCTTTCTTATTGATGACACCCCGCTGCCTTTCTTATTGATGACACTCCCGCTGCCTTTATTATTGACGACCCCATCCCCCTGTCCTCCTAATTTATGACCCAATTGCTCTCATTCGTGACCCCGCTGACCCCAATGGTGGAGGCCACTGTTATCTACATTGATAGAGGTGACTGTCCTCTGCATTGATAGAGGCCACTGAACTCCATAATGATGGAGGTTGCTGCCCTCCGCTGGCCACTGAACTCCATAATGATGGAGGTCGCTGCCCTCCGCTGGCCACTGAGCTCCATATTGATGGAGGTTGCTGCCCTCCGCTGGCCACTGAACTCCATAATGATGGAGGTCGCTGCCCTCCGCTGGCCACTGAGCTCCATATTGATGGAGGTTGCTGCCCTCCGCTGGCCACTGAGCTCCATAATGATGGAGGTTGCTGCCCTCCGCTGGCCACTGAGCTCCATAATGATGGAGGTCGCTGCGCTCCGCTGGCCACTGAGCTCCATAATGATGGAGGTCGCTGCGCTCCGCTGGCCACTGAGCTCCATAATGATGGAGGTCGCTGCCCTCCGCTGGCCACTGAGCTCCATAATGATGGAGGTCGCTGCCCTCCGCTGGCCACTGAGCTCCATAATGATAGAGGTCGCTGCGCTCCACACTCCGACACTCTAAATGCCCTGCTATCAATACTGACAGTGAGGTTAATTACTTTCAGTGGTATCCTTAAGCAACAACTTCTGGGTCTTGCAGTTAGGCAGCTGTCCAAGTCTCTTAATATGTCAAGTTATATATATACTGACGACTCAGAGCAGGTGGCATGTGGTGAATTGCAATGCATTGAACAGGTGTAATTGTTTTTTCCATTTCGTTTGCTTCTATCACCGAAGATTGGAACATGGACCTCAAAAGTACGAGATTTTTTTTCTGTCAATCGTTCAAGTAACAGTAACTTAAATGTGTGAAAAAATTACGCAAAAATTTCCCTTAAAGATATGTCAAAGAACATGCAAAAAGAGGGGGGGGGTAACTCTGCAAGAAACATAGTAAGAAAAATAAGAACATTTATTGTTTCATGCGTAGGTTAAACATACACATGCATGAGTTTGAGTGGTTTAACAGTAGCATGGTCACATGGTCCAAAATGCATTACGCAGTTACTTTTATTATGATGTTTTTTTAAAACGTTAGCAAAACGTTTTGGGGGAGATGCAAGATCCAGCATCATAAGGATTCAGGATGCAGGCTATATCCTGAAGCCGGAAGGCTCGAGGGATTATAAGTGTCACGCGCTTTTGAAGAGAGAGAGATTTCATCGAGATTAAAGGACTGTGTCCCGGAGAGATCAGAGAAAATTCCACCCCTCGGAGAGATGGTGGACCAAAGAGACTGATGTAAAGTTAAATATATATATATATATATATATATATATATATATATATATATATATATATATATATATATATATATATATATATATATATGCAACTGACGATCACAAAACACTGATCATTTTATGCGGAAAATCCACAGAGAAATATGAAATGAGGTGAACGTTTCGGCTTGTTAAAGCCTTTGTCAACACCAGACTGACAACAGTCTGGTGTTGACAAAGGCTTTAACAAGCCGAAACGTTCACCTCATTTCATATTTCTCTGTGGATTTTCCGCATATATATATATATATATATATATATATATATATATATATGCAATCTTACAAATGATTTAGAGTTAGGGGTTCTTAACCTTTTTCAGGAATACAGGTCCGCCATAATGGATTTCCCAATATTTCACTATATGTATCTCCTACGTCAGAGTGTCGAAATTAACATCACCACCTGTCATAGGTATAGCTGTATCATTCAAAAGATGTCAATAGCTTGATTTGACTTCATATATAGATTGTTAGAAACAGATCAGTTGAAAGTACATTATAAGGATTGAATTATATTTATTTATTAAAACTAGTAGGGGTACCCGGTGGTGCCCGGGGTAGTCTGTCTATCTTCCCCCTCTCCCCCCCACCCACCAGTACACTTCTTTCTACACTTTACTCATAGCCCCTCTCTTTTCCATTATTCCTTCCTATTCCTACCCTTCTTCCCTCCAGTCTCTGCCATTTTCTCCTCCCTACCCTCTCCTACCTCTTTACCCTTCGCTACTCACCTCTTTTTCCCTCCTTTATTTCCCCCTTCTACTTCCAATATCGCCTCCAACACACAAATTTATATATATATATATATATATATATATATATATATATATATATATATATATATATATATCCTCGCTCCTCCTTGGTTCCATATTTCGTCCCTCCGCGCGTACTCCC